CGGGAAGCCTGCTTCTCCCTCTCTCACTCCCCCTGCTTGTGTTCCCTCTCTCACTGTGTCTCTCTCTGTCAAATAAATAAAATCTTTAAAAAAAAAAAAAAGAAAACAGTGTTACTGGCAAGAACTTAGAGCGCAATATTTACAGAATTAAGGTGCAAGAATAAATAAATAAAAAAAAAGAACAAATCCAGAAATGCAAAATGAAAAGCCTAAGGCTTAGTAATGGTTCAGTGCTAAGGAAGCCCAAAAAAGAGATTCAGGTTGTGTGTTTTGCTAACAGTTTAAAAGGAACACCAAGGGTTCAAAGACAAAGGCTTTTTGATGAGTAACAGATCATCGATAACTTTCAAGGAAACAACTACGGTAAAGAAGTGGAGATCAAACCACACATTGTAATGACTACACAGTAATCATTTGAGAAGGTTGGTAGTAAAAGAAAGAAGGGAAAGAAAAGCAGTGTGAGAAATATGAACAATTACGCCAATATTCTTTTGGTCTAGGAGTGACCAGAACATTCCCGGGGGCAGAGAGAAGCCTTCTAGGGAGGGATGGAAAGAAGCTCCAAGGCAAACAGGTGAGTACTGACATTGAAGTGTTTTAATGAGGAGATAGGGCAAAATGAATTACTTGCAACAGGTCAGGTTAGTCTGTAATCAGGGTCTAAGGTCTAATAAATAGGTGAAATGAACATGGGAAGAGAGGAGAAATCAAAATGAAGATAAAGAAACGGTTCAGTAAACATGAGAGGATAGAGTGGAAGATATAGACAATGAGGACACATGAAGGAACTCTTATAACCACGGATATCGAAGATAAAACCGTTCTGACAATCATGAGTATAAGAACAATTTTCCAGTACTTTTTTTTTTCAACAATTAGAAGTCTATATACGGGAAAACCTATGGGAGAATAAAGGTAAAAAAAGATGTGTTAACATTTAGTTCTGATTTTTCTTGAGTAGTATCATAACACGGACTTGGAGATTTGCCATGAAAAGAGAAAATCGACCATGACCATGTACCATGGAGGTCGAGGACTCTAAATCTTACCTCTCTCAGAGGATCGTTGAGTTCACTGAGAATGTTTTCCTCGTCAAAGATTTTGCCTTGGTATCTGTGTTCATAGTAGTCGTGTATCTTCTGACGCATATCAGCTGGTAACTTATGGAATGACATGTATTGCTCCACTTGCTTATACTGCAAGGAAAGGAAAAAGGAAATTAGAAAACACTGTTAGGCTGTATGAGAAATCATCATGTTACCTTGTTGTGCTCAATTCAATAATATTTGAATAACAGTAACAAAAAGAAGAAATCCTTTGACGGGAAGGAACTAATGGACAAGGAGGTAATGTACCTACTCTATGTCACGTAATCTGCAAGGGATTTATCTAGGTAAACATTTCCTGTAGAGAACTGAGATGTGGAGGGGCATGAAAGGAGTTCAGAGTGAATTTAAGGTGTCACCCCAGAAAAGCTCAGTGACGAGACAAGAAAAAAATGTGATGTTATTTTTTTGGAATCTTTTTTTAGCTGTGTTCTAGAAGAAGTATCATGTTATGTTTGGCCCCTCATCCAGATATAGAATCTCCTAGGTTTGGGTAGACAAATGGTTTTATCTTAGACCTTTTAGCAAAAGATCAGACCTAATTAAAATTTGAATTTAGTGACAGAGAGCTTGGCAGCTGTTTCCAAGTCATAGATACTCAAGCAACACAGATGGCCTGAAAAGTGTGAGAATATGTCACCCTTCAATTTAGGACTTAAAGAGTATCAGGGTGAGACTAGATCCACGTAATTTTATAGCCAAAAGTTAACTTAGATGTTTAAATTCATTTAACCAAGTAGTTCTTAAACTTAATTGTTGATAAAACTTGGGTTGAAGTTGACTTTGGGAATGCAGATTTTTCAGGCTTAACTCCAGAGATTGATTCCCTTGATGTATCTGTTTTTGTGAATTTACACATACACTCATACACACACACACATACGCAATTTGAAAATAAATCCCTGGTATTCAAAAAGGAACATAGATATTAGCTGGGAACTTATTAGAAGAGAATTTCAGGTTTTACTCCAGACCCATGAAATCAGAGTCTACATCTTAAAAAAAGATTCTCAGATGACCTATACACATTTAAGTTTGAGAAACATTCCCTTGATGTTGCAAATGCAGGTAGTCATGAGACCATACTTTGAAACAATTAATTAGAGCCTCCCAAATGAGTTTCATTACACAGATGATAAAATTGAATACAAATAAAAAAGTAGGTAATAAAACTGGATAAACATACTGGAATAAGATTCTTCCCTTAAAAAAACACATTTGCTGTGTTTTGGAGAACACATGGATATTTTTTTTTTCCTCACATCTTTTCCTGATCACTTAGAGGTCTCCCAACTCCTTGTCCATAATTAGTGTATTTGTAATTGGTACTTGATAACACATACATCTAATCAGAAACAGCAACCTATTATATTTCTTCAACTTTTTGGACATACTTTCCTTTCACATAACATTCCTATTTTTAAGACATTCCCTTTTGGAGATTAGTATTCTTAAAGGAAATACAACTTTGTCATGAGACTTCTTTATTTGGTCACCAGACTGTCCCCCAAGTATTTAAAGCTTGCAGGCCTATATATATCTCTCTCTGAAGCAACTTGATTATGATTTAAGCATTTTATATTTAGACACCAATGCTTCCACTGTCACTTGTGTAAGTGGCTTCTAGCATGTACTTGAGAAGGATTGGTTAATTTTTCCTGAAGAGCTCAGAATCTGTATGCCTACCTAATCTTGGTAACCCACTTCTAGAGACCTGGAATTCAGTCTGCTTGACCCTCATGCAGCTGGTCCATAAGAAAGAAGTTTCAGTGACCTCTATAAGACTGCTGTGTAGGATAAAGTTGATTTGCAGCTGGACTGAAAAAGCTCTATCTTTATTTCTAGAGACATCCATGCATCTGATTTTTTTCTTTTAGCCAAAAAGAGGGCAGTGGGATATTTGAGGTACTGTTTAGGGTCCAAGGCTCCACTGGAAACCCCAAGTTTAACTTTTGCACTAATGCTTTGCAGCTAGTCTATCTGGTTTGATTATTCTGGCTTGACTTTTTTTTTTTTAATTTTTTTTTTTTTAAGATTTTATTTATTTGTGAGAGAGAGAATGAGAGACAGAGAGCATGAGAGGGAGGAGGGTCAGAGGGAGAAGCAGACTCCCCGCTGAGCAGGGAGCCTGATGTGGGACTCGATCCTGGGACTCCAGGATCATGACCTGAGCCGAAGGCAGTCGCTTAACCAACTGAGCCACCCAGGCACCCCTGGCTTGACTATTTAAAGAGCTACTGAGAGCTTTGTTGCTGAGCTCCCCCCCAAACCAAGGCTCCTTGCACAGATTTTGGTGGATCAAGCCAGAAACTCAGCATGTTCCACATGCCTGAAGATTGAGCCCGTGGGGAGCTCATGCTGGGGAAAGGTTCTTGGGCCTTAATGCCATGTGTGCATTCTCTTTCTCCAAAGCCCTGTAATCCTTTGCCTTTAAACAAATGCCTCATACGAGTAAAGTCTGGTGAATCTTGTTAAATATTCAAACTTGGGAAAACAATAAAACAGCTTAAGAGCACAGGACTACCACAGTTTTGACACTTACTGCATTGATGAAAGTCCTTTCAGTTCTGGACAAATAAAGGATTCAACTTTCTTCAGGACCAGTAGGGGTCAAGTAATCTCTGTTTACTTTTCTCAAAAAAACTGCTTGCCCAAACACTGCTTCCATTGGTGAGAATCTTTAACCTTAGCCAGGATACTAAGCTCTAGATTTCTCTGTTCTTTGCATGCATTTCAGTGGGCATGGGAGGCAGCCTTAGAAGTTAGTAGTATTTCAATTCATTTTTACAAAATTTGTGCCTATGTGCAAGGGCCTACTCACCTAGAGAAACAAATAATCTGCTCAATGTCTATCTTGAATTAGAAAACTAATCCTTGATCAGCTAAATACAAATGTTACACATAAAGTTATTTTATTTTTATGGAAAGTTAGGATTGGTGGAATGTAGTTATTTTTCCTCATATGAATCATTTAATCCCTTTATACTTGAGTTTACTAAACTACAATAAGAGAGTGTTTCACCAAATGATCTTCTTTGTTCTTTCAGACTAAAGTTCTATGAATATTTCTTGTCATTTAATCATACTGAGTTCAATTTGATTTTTGAACCCATATTACATATTTTAAACATTAATCCATTTATAGTAATTATCGATCTACCAAATATTAACTGATTGCTGCGTGCCAATGGTTCTCAAACTGCAGTTAAGGTGAAGATAAATTACCAGTATCACAGGGAAGCCTGTTAGAAATGCACATTTGAAGTTTTCACCCCAGACCCACAGAACCAGAAATTCTAGCAGTCTGTGTTTTAAAAGGCCTTCCCTACATTAAAACATCAGAACTACTTCTATCTGCCAAGAACTGTGTTATCTTAGGGCATAAGGAAGCACTTTTGAGTGAGAGTAGGGGACAGAAAGGAAATTCAGTTTTGGTAAGTTAAGTTTAAGATGCCTATGGCCCATCCTAATGCTTATATGTAGGTCAGGCACTTAGAAGAAAAAATATACACATAGTCAATGACTAAGAGATCACTGAGGGATAATGTGTCAAATAAAGAGATTTAAAAAAAAAAGTGGAACCTACATTTTAAAAGCAGTTGGAAATCGATCAAGTTAAGGGAACTGAGATTAGCCAGCCAGATGTGACAGAACCAAAAAACCTCGACTCAGAGCAAAGAAGGATAAAGTTTCAAGGGGCGGGAGGTACTCAAAAGAAGTATATTCTAAGAAAAGAGGTATTGCACCATAATCAGTGAATTTGGAAATTAGGTAATGATTTGTTAGAACACAACACTTATCGAAAACAGGAGCTACTTCTTTTTGTCTGTTTCCCTATACCTAACAAGACTTGAGAAAAAATGAATGAAAATAGACCTACCTGTGATGTGAAGAATAAAATAATAATTACTCTTTGAAAAACAACCTAGTGGTCGGTGGATAATGGAATAAACTAAGTGTTGGAAGCTAAATTTAAAAAAACGATAATATGGAAAAGTTTCTGTTAGTTGTTATACTATATGTGAAAGATGACTTGACACATTAAATAGTCACTGAAGAGACTTTTGAAAAACAAAGATGCAAATACAAGTATTTCTTGAATATATAAAATCAAAAGTTCATCCCATCAGATCTAAAGAGACTATTGGGGCGCCTAGGTGGCACAGTTGGTTAAGCATCTGATTCTTCAGCTCAGGTCATGATCTCAGGGTCTCCGGCTCTGCACCCAGTACACTCTGCTTAGGACTCTCTCCCTCTCTCTCTCTCTGCGCCTCCCCCCTCTAAAATAAATAAAAACATCTTTAAAAATATTAAAAGAGACTATAACATCATTATCATTTAAAATTCTAATGTACTTTTATTTTCAAAATTTTCTGTGCAATTAAAATGATACATAAAAATATTGCATGAACATACTAAAAATGAGATCTAATATATATAATGAAGACAACATTCCATTATTAAACTCACTCCTCCCATGTTACCGCTTTCAAAAGGTGTTTTGTCTATATTGCTAAGTAATATGCTTCTGTTTCTAATTCTTATGTGGATCAATTATAGGCAACATTTATTGACTTTTTGCCATGGAAAGGTGGTGTAGCCACTAACAGCCCCCCATATCTTCTCACCTTCTCTCTCATTCTGCAATTGTGTCACTAGTGTTAATTCTTCCCTCGGTCTCTTTTGTAACTTTACATAACATAGTTATATCTTTATTTCTTGTTCAGAGAACTCTAGACAAGTTTACCAAATGAAATGTAACAAACTCATTCTTTCATTTCTATTTTTTAACTTTTGTCATCTCTACTTTATAATATAAAGGTGGATTGTAATTTTGTACCTGAAATTGAACCTACCAAAGCGGTTATACAGTGTTTGCATTACTCTGTTTACCACAATGCCAAGTGCAGCATTTGATGACATTTCCTTTGGTTTTGTGGATTTTTAATGACTTTTATTTTTTGCACAAGAAATTTTTTTCCAGCATCCCTATCCTAGCTGATATCCAGTAGGATTTCCCTTTATAACATCTCTGGTTGGGTTCCCTATTCCCAGAGCCTATGTTTCTCTTTTGTTTATTTACTCATGTT